CCCAAGTTGCCGCCATCCTCCATGAGACCAGGAGCAAGGGGTTAGACTAGCTCTTACCCACAGCCGCTCCAGGTACCAACTTTGTGGTGTCAGAAGGGATCTGAGGTGGAAAGGTCTATATGGAGATGAATAGAGACAGGCAGATACCTACTTTAAGGTACGCATAAAGAAAAGAAGAGCACAATTAATTGAGTAGGAGGCACATATAAAAGAAGGGAGTGTGGCTAGGTGCAGAGGCTCATGCCTGTAATCCCAGCCCTTTGAGATGTCAAGGCGGGCAGATTGCTTGAGCTCAGGAGTTCAACACCAGCCATAGCAAGAGTGAGACCCCTGTCTCTAGTAAAAATAGAAAAGTTATCTGGGCATGGTGGCACATGTCTTTAGTCCCAGCTACTTGGGAGGCTGAGACAGGAGGATCCCTTAAGCCCATGAGTTCAAGGTTGGAGTGAGCTATGATTGCACCACTGCGCCCTAGCCAGGGTGAGAGAGTGAGACTCTGTCTCAGAACAAGGGGCAGGGGGTAGTTTTATTTCCCCCAAACAGAAGCTTTTAGGGATAGGGGATGTATTTTTGGCTCCAGTGGCTTGGGTATGCCTTTTGGAGGATCACTACGCTTATTTACTATTTACATATGGAAAATCATTCCAGGGGGTAGCTGTAGTCTCTCCAGCACACGTTCAGGATTGTGTGTAAAGTTTCTTTTTGAGACAGTTGCATAATGATGGTCTAACAGTATGTGCACTGCAATGCTGCTTAGCTAGGAGGGTGCTGGGGTGCATTTTCCTGAATTTCCACAGATTTCCTGGAATAACCATCTAGTAGCTGAGTGAGCTGAGACAAGGCGTTTGCCTCTCTGGGTCTTAGGTTCCTCATCTGTCAAATGGACAGTGCCACCTAGCTAGTTGCCAGGTGTCTCACATAATGCCTGGCACACACTGGGCACTCCGCACCTAAGCCTAGGCCCTTCTCCTGTCTCCTCATGCATAGTGGGTCACTATGGGTTTCCTGGCCCCGTGGCTCTGTGCCTAGGTAGCAGTGAGAACTGATGTAGCCCTGAAAACATAACTCCCGCCAATACTTGTGGTGCTGGAGTGTTATATTTACTGCTCCTGAGTGAACTTCTTTCCTCTCCTAGACAAATGCTAATTAGTCTGCCCCTGCCTGCATGTGACACCTCTTCTGTGCTGCAGGGTGTACATGTTTGTGGGGGTTTGGGGCAGCCTTGAGACCCAGAGCTCTTTCTGAAGCTCGCAGCCTAGAATCTGGGAGGGTCTCACACCCTCACTAGCCCCCACAAGCCCTCCCCACACTGTCCCTTCCATTCTTCTTCCAGACAACACCTTCCCTGAACAGCACTTGCTAACAGTCTAGTGCCCTGCCTCTGTGCCCACACACAAGGTCCCTTAATGCTCCCATTAGCCCCTTCACTTAGAGAAGAGTAGGGGCCTTGGGTGAGGAGTCAGCCAGGACCCCATCCCTACCCCCAAATTGCTCAGGATGGCCTTTATCATTCAGAACTCAATCTTCCAATGTCTCAGTTTCTTACTCCCTTGAAGGGGGAAAGAGAGTATCAGGATGATTGAGTTGATCTTGGCCCAAAAGATGCTAATAACGTCTCGTGTGTACTGAGCACCAACCAAGTGCCACGGACTTTACATGCATAACCTAAATATAACTGGGGCCGTGGCTGCCCTTTCCTACCTAGTTACTGACCCAACCCAGAGATGGCAGTACTTGCAGAATATTGTCTTTAAGGGCTATTTCAACGTTCACTTGGTAGGATACGTTCTCGACAAGCTCCTGGAAGTCCTCTTGAGGCACTTCTTGTTCTCAGGTTCATCTGTTACATCATGGCTTCAGAAAAGCTTAGCTTTTGCTCTGCTCCCCTCAGACCTCCAGAGCCCAGCCCAGTCTCTCTCCCCCTCTCTCTCTCTCTTTCCCTGCACAGTGCCCTCACCCCCTCATTGCTCTTCGAGGCTACATTTTCACCCTTCACCCATTGCTGTCCTAGAAAACATGCTCTGCCTATTGTTCTAGAAGCTTTTACTCACTTCCCAGGAAGCAAGACCCAGGGATTTCAGTGAGCAAATATTTCACCGTATCATACACACATTACTTCTTTTAATACTCAACAGTCATTAAGTGGCAGAACTGGCAGAACCTAACAGGTCACTACACAGCAGATGCTCAGCAAGGTCAATGTCATGCAAGTGCTCAATATATGTCAGCTCCTCGCTCTTCTTTTGGACTTGCCGTGTCTGCTCAAGAATCTTCAAGGGCTCCCTATTATCTAGAGCAGGGGTCAGCAAACTGTGGCCTATAGGTCAAATCTGGCCTGATAGCTGTTTTGTAAATAAAGTTTTATTGGAACACAGCCACATCTATTTCTTTACATATTTTCCACAGCTGCTTCCCCGAGTAGTTGTAACAGATGCAATATGGCCTATAAAACCTAAAATATTTATTCTTTGGCCCCTTATAGAAGGAGTCTGATGACCCTTCCCCTAGAAAATCAGAGGTGAGGCTCGGCGCCTATGGCTCAAGTGGCTAACGCGCCAGCCACATACATCTAAGGTGGCGGGTTTGAATCCAGCCTGGGCCCGCCAAAACAACAATGACGGCTGCAACCAAAAAATAGCCGGGCATTGTGGCAGGTGCCTGTGGTCCCAGCTACTTGGGAGGCTGAGGCAGGAGACTCGCTTGAGCCCAGGAGTTGGAGGTTGCTGTGAGCTTTAATGCCACAGCACTCTACCCAGGGGGATAACTTGAGGCTCTGTCTCAAAAAAAAGAAAATCAGAGGTGACAGGGACTTCATCTTACCCTTCTTTGACTCTGCTACAGACCAAGTGCTTGATAAGTAAATCTCAAGTGAATTAACAAGAAGTCCACACCATCATCTTGGAGCCACAGCCCCAAGTGCAAAAAGATCTCTAAATATAGTCAGATACCTTCAACCTGCTGGTCCCAGGAGAGTGACCCCTTGTCCTTGTAGGTCACAGGCAGCCTTTCTGGGACTGCTGCAGCTATCCCCTACTCCTTGGCTCTGAAGAGCTATCAGGAAAGTCAAGGTCTTAAGTCCACTGCCTCTTACCCTTTAATATCTACACTCACTTTCTGAGAGAAAAATGTCATACAACCTCCTTTTTTTGGTGTACATCATAAAAACGGTTTTATTTTAAATTCAACAAGAAAAATTATAATGTTGAATATGCTTTTCAAATTGTACTTACCCTTCATTCATCAAAACCATTGATCTTGGCCAACGTGCTCATTTCACCACTGGGGAAACTGAGGATTTGAAGTGCTTAAGGGACTCAGAAACAGAGCCAGGCTTGGTGGAGCTCCCAGATCCCAGCTCAGTGCTCAGGTGTTCCTCAGAGCCCACTCTGTGATGGGAGTGGGGTGGGGAGGGGGCCTAGGCTCCTAAGTTGCCATCATGGCCTCTACCAGGCCCATCAACTCTCTCACACCAACCTGTATGATTTCCTAGTGGGGGTATGATATCCAGGGCTGTTTGGAGACAAGAATCCTGAGTTCTAGGCTCAGAGCAATGACAAGCAGCCCCAGATCAAGGACTCTCCCCAGAGAGACAGAGGTGCCCTCTTTTGCTCCCACTCTCCTGTGTCTGTCTCTAGCCTGCCCCCTCTGACACAGTGGCTCACTCCTGCTCCTGCACAAGACACCCGCGCCTGTCATGCTGCCCTGTCTGCACCTCTCTGGCTCTTTGTACCATCCCTGCCCAGTGACACACATCCTTATTCCACTCACTGGCCATGCCCCGCCCATCTGACAGAGGCCAGCCTACAGGCCCAGCACAGCCAAAGTATGTGTTGTGATTGTTTGACACTATTCTAAAAGAATTTGAATTAGTTGCTCATGTTTAAACACCAGAAAGAATCATCTAAACTACTGGATTTCTTGACTCTCTTAAAAAATCTAGACTGGCAAATATAAGGCCTGCATCATTGTCTGGCATTAACTGACTGGGGCTAAGGAGCAGTTGTTCCTCTGGCTGGGTAATGTACACATCAGGTCTCCAGCGTCCCCACCTTCCCAGTCCTGCTGCTATGCTCCTTTAGATGACCTTTTTGGCCTTGGAAAGCATTTGTGTTTGCAATCCTCATCTTGACCACTTTGATTTTGACTACTACCTGCTCCCTCACCCTACCTCTCACCCAGCTCACTAGGTAAGACCCACCCACCTCACCTGGACAGCCTGTAATCCTAGCATACTAGAAGGCTAAGGAAGGAGGATTGCTTGAGGTCTAGAGTTCAAGACCAGGCTAAGCAAAGAGACACCCTGCCTGTCTCTACTAAAAATAGAAAAATTATCTGGGTGTGTTGGCATGTGCCCGTAAACCGGCTACCTGGGAGGCTGAGAAAGGAGGACTGTTTGAACCCAGAAGTTTGAGGTTGCTCTGAGCTAGACTGAGGCCATGAAACTCTAGTCAAGGTGATAGAGCAAGACTCTGCCTCCTCCAAAACAGCCAGGCGTGGTGGCTCATGCCTGTAATCTTAGTCCACTGGAAGTCCAAGGCAGATAGATTGCTTGAGATTAGTTAGGAGTTCAAGACCAGCCTGAGCAAGAACAAGACCCTGTCTCTACCAAAAATAGAAAAAAGCTAATTTGGCATAGTGACGTATACCCATAGTCCCAGCTGCTTGGGAGGCTGAGGCAACAGGATCACTTGATCCCAAGAGATTGAGGTTGCTATGAGGTATGGTGCCATGGCACTCTACCCAAGGTGACAGAATGAGACTTTGTCTCAATAAAATAAAATAAAAGACCCTCCTATCCTAAGACCATCCGCAGCGATTAACCCATTGACCCCTGGCCTCCTGATCATATGTCACTCAGCCAGGCATGTAAGTGTCAAGGGAGGCTGGGTCCCAGTTGCTGTCCCTAAATACAGCTCTGGACTCACAGCTCTCCAGGGCCCCCCCCACCCCCAAGTCCCACAACTGCCCTAGTAGTCATTCAGCAGACATAGCGGCTAGTCCAACATCCTTTATCAGTTCTAAATAAGGACCCCAGCATTTTTATACTGAGGCAGGAGTTCCTGGATTTTGTACCTGGGTGCTGTAATGGCCTGGATAAGCCTCAGTGGGGGGAGGAATTTCCGGGGAGCCTTGAAAACAGGATGGGGAGGTTTAGTCTCGTTGATTCTACACAAATCCAGGATCAGAGTCTGAGGGTCATAGATCCCTTTCTTCTTGGGCTGGATTGGGATGAACGGTAGACTCTGGTGAGGTTCCACCAGCAGCCGCAACAGGTCCTTCCGAAAAACATTCCAGTTGTTCTCCTTGAGGAACTTCTGGCACGTTTCTTCATCACTGGGGGTAGGCACAGAAGCTGTGGTTTTCATACCAGCCCCTCCCTGCCCCAGCCTTGCTTCCAGCCCTCTTTCCAACCCCTGAGCTCGTGGGGTCTTGACCCACCTCTCTGCCTTTCCCACACTCTCTCTCTGCCTCCACAACTTCCTTCCCTTAGACCTGTGCTGTCCCATGCAGCAACCATGAGCCATATGTGGCCACCAAGTAGCTAACGTATGGCTGGTCTGAATAGAGATGGGCTGTGAGTACAAAATATACACCAGAATTCAGAGACTTAGAACAAAAGAATGTAAACTATCTCAGTAATTTATATTGATAACGTGTTGAAATGATAATACTTTAGATATGGCTCGGCACCTGTGGCTCAAGCGGCTAAGGCGCCAGCCACATACACCTAAGGTGGCGGGTTCGAATCCCTAGCCTGGGCCCGCCAAACAACAATGATGGCTGCAACCAAAAAATGGCCAGGCGTTGTGGCAGGCGCCTGTAGTCCCAGCTACTTGGGAGGCTGAGGCAGGAGACTCGCTTGAGCCCAGGAGTTGGAGGTTGCTGTGAGCGTGATGCCATGGCACTCTACCCAGGGGGATAGCTTGAGGCTCCCTCTCAAAAAAAAAAAAAAAAAAAAAAAAAAAACTTTAGATATACTGATTCCAATAAAATAGATTATTAAAATTAATTTCACCTGTGTCTTTTTGCTTCTTATAATGAGGCTATTGAAAAATTTAAATCACATATATGATCATCAACCATCAGAGAAATATAAATCAGAACCACAATGAGATAGACCACTTATACCCACTAGCACAGCTACAATAAAAAGATTAATAAGTACTGATGAGGATATGGAGATGTGGGAACAAAGTTTCCAATACATGGCTGGTGGGGATGTAAACTGGAGCAACCACTATGGGAAACAGTCTGGCAGCTCCTCAAAAGGTTAAATGGACAGTTACCATATGCCCAGCAACTCCACTCCTAGGTAAACCTAAGAGAAATGAAAATATATGTCTATATAAAAATGTGCACGAGAATATACATAGCAGCATTATTCATAATAACTTAAAAGTAGAAATAATCCAAATGTCCATCAAATGATAAATGGTTACTAACATGTGTGTGACTCCACTTATATGAGATGCCCAGGACAGTAGGACAGGCAAATCTGTAGAAACAGGAAGTAGATTAAAAGCTTCCTTGGAGTGATCAGGGTGCTTGGCTCTCATGCTGCTGCCTCCCCGATGGCACGTGAGGGTGGGGAAAGTGGGACTAGGCTGGGCTGGGCTCAGCACCCACTGGTTTATTTCCTTCTGAGACCAAAGCAGGGGAAGGATATGTTAAACTTCAATTGACTTGCCTGAACTTACCTAAGGAAGTAGGCCTAAAAATCAGTAACCAATCAGAACATTCTTGTGGCTAGATTATATTGACGAGGACAAAGTTGACATTGATCCATAGAAATCAACTTAAAAAAACACCCAGAGGTCAGCACAGGCTACACATGCCAGCCCTGTTAGTCTTAGTATGGCAAAGCCAGCTTCTGCCTGCTTACAAAAGCTGACTGTGTGCATCTCTAACTCTATTTTTAGTGACTTCGGGTTAACGGTTTGAAATTAGCATTGGTAGAAGTATTTACACCACAGAAATCAGCAAACGCCACAAATCAGGGTTTCCTCCCACCACCTGGAGAGCTGATTGTTAAACATCTACCAGCATTGTGCAGTCTCCACTTTAGAAGTTTCATTATCTCTCAATTTCTCACATGACAAGTAACACTACCTAACTTTGACTTAGAACTTAACACAAGAACTTTACTTTGGGTTAACTCATTTAATTATCAGAATCACCCATTTCACAAACATGGAAACTGGAGCCAAAGAGACTAAGGACTCACCAAAACCTACAGGGGCAAGGGTGGGATTACTGATTCTTTTTTTTTTTTTTTTTT